TGAAAGGAAATCCCTCCATGTGGGTGGCAGGCCGTCCTGTAGAAACTTCCCGCAGCGTTGGCAAGGAGCCTGAAACAGCTTGATATAACTTCTTAACCAGGTCTGCAAAGAGGAGGGAGAGAAGAAGTGGTAAAATGAAAAGCAGCACCCTTGCTGTCATGTTTAATGCTCGTAGTGACAAGATGACACTGCCTGGCCCTAATCCAGCAAAGACGCACTGAATCTGCAGGAGCATACAAACTGTGTCCCCCTCTGTTTACAAGGTCACAAGATAGCTGAGCTGAAACCTTTGGGCTGGGAGACTTTTCTTTCTCCGACACTCAGCTGTCCTAAAACTAGCCTTCCATCTGCTGGAACTTTTTTTTTTTTGAACACGCAGGAAAACCTCCACACTGTCCATAAATAAGCAAAGCTGCACAGAGACTATGCTATAAATACATAGGGAAAATGCAGGGGTTCTGCAGAACTGTACAAATGAGATATACAGCCTCATCGTTGTGCTATATCTGAACAGAAACGTATTCTTAGGGCAGGTTCACACCATTTTCCAGACCAGATCTGGTCCGGAAAATGATGTGAACCTGCCCGCAGTTCCAGTGCATTCCAGATCACACAAAATCAGACATGCAGTATTTGTCTGGTCTGGAACGGACTGCGCTGGTGTGAACAGAGGCCAGACAAAGCCTAGGGATACATTAGGATGCATTTTGTGTCCGGAAACAATCTGGTCTGGTCTGGAGATGATCTGGATGTGGTGTGAATGGGCCCTTAAAGCAGATATTTCACTAAATGTGACCTAACCCAGGGTTGAACATGTCCGAGGAGCCAGGCCACCACTGCTCCTAAAATATGACAGGCTGGCGTCCAGCTTTTGAGGTTTTCTCTAGTTGTTGTCAATGGAGCTGGCCAGTGGGTTGGCGAACTCAGACTTGTATCATGAGAAGCAGTAAAGCAAAACCACTATGTAGCCCTGCAACGTAGGAAACATATCCTATACATTCCCTTTAACTATTTCCCACTAAGTAAATGGAGAAACTTTGCTACAGTTAGGCCTACCCTAATTACATTTTAAACAACGTCTTGCACGTTCCCAAACACAATGGAGGGATTTGATGAAAACTTGGAGCAGACAAAATCTGGAGCAGATTGGCTGCAGTGCAAATCAGCTTCTCTCTCTCATTTTCAAATCTTACCTGAGCAAACTGAAGAGAGAAGCTGATTGGTTGCCATGGGCAACTGCTCCAGATTCTGTTTGCTCCAGTTTTGATACATACACATTGGGGAGAATCAAAAAGCTAGAATTTTGAGGATTGAGGGAAAATATTTCAATGTCGATACTTGTTCCTGTGACAAGAGCGCATTTCCTCTCACTTCCTGCTGTGTCTACAGAACAAGAAGTGGAAGGAAATCTCCCCATTGGGACACACTCATCAGCCAGGGGTTTTCACCTGTTCTGTTATACGTTTAAGACTTCTGTAGCCAATCAATAAATGGGAGAAAATTAGGGGCTGGCTGCAGACTGGGTTCTGGATTTGTCTGTGTTCAGCAAACTGCTTCCCTGCAGTATCTGTCAATATGTTATTCTATCACAAGCCGAGCACTTAAAGAGCCAGAACACCTACACTAAATGTTTGTTTTAGACACATTGCCAGCACAGTGTCTCTTGTATAAAGCTTCTCCAGAACTAGAACTTCATATACTTGATTTTATATTTTCATTGGCAGTGTGGGTAAGTAACCCCTTTTGGTTCATTATTCTCAGCCACTGACTGTGGTGTATTCTGCTGGGATTAAAGGTACACTCCAGTCCTAACAGAAAATTACAGCCTTGATATCAGGGCCGAGACAAGGGGGGGGTTTGGTCGTCAGCGTGACCAACAATCAAGTCACTCACACTGCTATTCTTCCACTCTGCAACATGGACAAGGCCGACTTTATCAGTTCAGAGGGGTGCCATGAGCTGAGACACTCTCTGAATTCTAGTGCCATGTGCGGGAACCCACACTACTGCGAGGCAGAGTATAGTTGCGGCCTGAATGTCTGACAGCATCACAACAAAAAAAGGGGTTCAAAGTCTTGCAGTTCATCTTTATAAAAAACAAAGAAACCACAACCTGAATAGAAAAGCCTGTACCCTGCCATACTTTAGTTTTACCTAAAAGTAGGGATACGCCAATGCCGAGTTTTTTGGCGAGTACTCAGACCTCGCCCAAATGCTCTGATGCCTAGCCCGATACTTCTGGTATCATGACGCTGGGCAGCGCGCCATTACACCCTGCCCGGCTTCCCGATTGGCCGGGAAGCCGACTCCATGCTCTCTCGTCATTTGTGACGAGAGAGCATGGAGCCGGCTTTCCGGCCAATCAGGAAGCCGGGCAACGTGTAATGACGTGCTGCCTGGCATCCTGATTGGTCGGAAGCTGGCCCATGAGGTAGCCGGGCGCCACGTCATTACACAGTGCCTGGCTTCCTGATTGGCCAGAAAGCCGGCTCCATGCTTTCTCGTCACCTAGTGACTAGAAGCATGGGGACAGCTTCCCTGCTAATTGGGAAGCCGGGTGGCGAGTCTTTACACGCTGCCCGATTAATCAGGAAGCCAGGTGGTGAGTCATTACACGCCGCCTGGCTTCCTGAATGGGACTTCCGGTACTCGGTATCGGCGAGTACCGGGAAAACAATATCGGTACTCATACTCGATACCGAAATACCGGTATGGGTGCATTCCTACTTAAAAGCTTTGTTAAAGCCAAACTGAATTTAATTACTCAAATATTAGTAACTAAACTGCCTGACAGTTAACAATTTTGGGCCCCCAGGAGCTTTTTACCACAATGTGCAAGAATGCACACAGCACATTTGACCGTTGCGGCAGACTTCCTTAGCAAATCTATACCTTCCAGAGCTGTGATGTCTGCACTGCCCCTCAGTTGCCAGTGCTTCCACTTCTTCCTGGTCTTCTACCATCTTAGACTTATCTTAGGACATCTCCACTGGCCAGGATGACATAAGTCTCACACATGTGAGTAGTTTCGTCCTGGCACAATATTGTGCTGAAACTGTACACTGAGATGTGTATGTGCAGCTTCGTGTACACACAAAAAAAAAAAGAGCCGACGGGCCGTTAGAAGCATCTATGACAGGGACATGCACAGTCTGTTCCGCCATAAAAAATACCCGCCTGTCTGCTCTGTTTATTTTATTTGTGTAACTAAAGTTGGTTTAAGTGTTACTAGCAGCTTTTTATATCATGTGACTTTTATATACCAACTGCCTCATACGATGCTTATCCCCTTAAATGTGTATTTTCTTTTATTTGAAGTAAAGGAAATAGTGAGGACGCATATAAAATTGTACAGCAGATTGTGAGGTCCACCATGAGATTAAAGCAGCGCCTGCTGAGGGTAATTAAGACATGTCAGTACTCTACAAGCTTCAGTGCGCTGCTGATTGGTGGAAGGACCAAAATATTGACACTTGCATTGAATGTCTGTCAGATGTTTAGGAAGCTAGACTCAGCTGGAGTTTTACAGATCAATCAAGGAGCCCTCCTCCCCCCTACTGATAATAAACACAGAACCTGCTTGCTGATTCTTCCCCTGGTCTGGTGATTATGAGATCTTTCCACCTGTCAGACCAGATTGGCTAACTTCATAATGGGACAAGATGAGAAAACATGGACTAGATCGATGTTAACATGGAAGAGCTGCAAGTTACATCAAGTACAACTGCTCAAAACAGCAGCCAAAAAGGGAAGAATGATATGCTCTTGTCTTGGGATTAAGCAGATGGCTTTGGAAGAATGATCAGTAAAGGATATTTTATGGGTCTCCTTTGACATGGGTATCGATAAGATTTATTTGGGTAGATATATCTCCCTGAAAGCAGTGGATGTGGAGATAACAATCGGTCTCTGAACAAATTGTTCAAGTGCTGGAAGCCTGGAAGTGTTGCAAGGTCACGCAGTGCAGCCTGGGCAAGAAGTGGCTGCAACCTAAATTACCATCGGCAATGGTCAGAACGTGGCTTGGTTTTTATTGGGCAATTATGGCCAGACTAATGGAGGAGTTTGAAGCAGTGCTGTGGTAGGGGAGGGAGTCTAAAGGTGCCCAAACATCTGACGATTATCATATGATAATAGCGGGTGATCCCGCGATCGTACGATAATCGTAAGGTTGATGGGCAGCGTGCAACCTCTTCTACTGTACGGTCGTACGATTTTCGTATAACAAGCACGCTAGAAAACCTGCAGAAAAACGTCCGACTTTCGGCGGGTTGGTAGCGTGATCGCAAGACGAAAGGCGCACGCCCCGAGGTACGCAAGAGCACACTGCCCGCTCAGCATTGCAATCATCTGCAAGCCCTCCCCTCAGCGGGGAGGACTTGCGATGATCGCATGTACGATCTGCCTGTCCAAGATGGGCAGGTCATACCAAATTTTAATCACCTTACAACCATCGCACAACGAAAGTCGTGCGAAGGTTGTAAGGTGTATGGCCAGCTTTAGGTTTCTGGGACTGTTTTGTGACTTTGCTTCAGTATTTAGCTGCAATAGAGCATAATGAATGATTTGCATGGCTTTGTGCTATCCTTAAATATAAATTAAAACCTTTTGTTTAGGTTTTATGAAAAAATGGAATCTACATATCTTTTATTATACAGAGGACTATGGCTTCTTTTATTTTAATACTCAAGAGGAAGATGCGGCCGTCTTAACAAATAAGTACACTGAGGCAGCCGTGTCTGTTCAATGCATATGGAGGCTGCGCTTCCAATTTATTACACTTGTCCCTGCACCCTTCACCTTCTGAGCCTCTTTATGATCCTGTAATGTCATAGAAGGCTTCACCTAAACAACAGCGAGTCTCAGGAGGTGGGACGGTAAGTCGAGCTTGCCTTCTAAAAATAAAGTCAAATTGTGCATAATAAATGAGCTACCTATATCTCTGTATCTACAAAGCTTTTTAAAAAGCAGTTTGCACTGAAGGAAACCTCTGCTCATGCATCTTTGTACCATATGCTCAGTCTGAATTGTTTAGGCTCATGATGGGTTCACTTTAATTATAAATGTACATTGGGGCAACCATATTTGCTGATGAAATATTCAACCTGTGCTTATTAGAGCTGAAGAGTGATTATGTTTTACTGCTCCTCTTTGTCAATGCAAGCCTATCAGACTGGCTGGAAATACAATATCTAGGTGGTTTATCCTGGCATGTCAACTGTTCAGAAAACCCTCAGTTATGCAAACATTATACATATACCATCATTAAATGTGCAATGTACTAAATATGTACTACTGAAAACATACTGTAGCTGGATCTAATAGTCTGAAAACAAACCGTATTCTTTTTCAAGGTATATGGATTAAAAAGTCCATTCTCACCATGAAAGATCGGACCACGACGTCTGGCATCTGAGGCAGCTGGTAATGGAGGAGGGCAGTTGTGGCATGATCAGTAACCTAAGTGGTAAACAAAGAAAGATTGTTTTGTCACATCATCTCATAGTATTATATATATAAACCCAAAATGTGTGACTGAGAGGTAGTCTCATCCAAACCCTCTCACACAGTAATTGCAGCACACATTGCAATCATCGGACGACACTTTTCGTCCGATGATCGAACCGTCATTACGATTTTCTTACAGCGGCCCCATCCTGCCCCGATTATCGCAAGGTTGGATCAGCGGTAATTAAAGGAAAGCACCTGGACGAATCGCGGTAATCGACTGCACGTATTTCCGTCTGCGCATGAGCAGTGTAAATCGTACGAATTTTGACGTACGGAAACGCCACCAACCTTGCAAAAATCGTACGATCGACCGAAGTTTCTAACCTGCTGGTTAGTCAAAAGTCGATCGATTATACAGTATTTGCGCTTGTACACTGCCCATCAACCTTACGAATATCGGACGAAAACGCGATCGCATACGAAATTCGGCCGATATTCGTAAGGTGTATGGGCACCTTAAGACAGAGTTCAGTGTTCAGATTAGTAAAGGTGGCTGTTTATGTACCATTGTCTGGACCATTCCTCTCTGTACACCGAGCAGGACTTGGCACCATTCTGTAAGCTGTGCAGTATCTGTCATAAATAGTGTTAATACCGCGCACTGCTGCTCTCTGAATGCTGTGCAATAATACTGTAGTAACTAATAAGGAATATACAATCAATATAGACAACACTAAGGGACACAATAGCTACATATGGGTCAACTTTTTTCTGCGTTTCCTGACCTGCACACTTGTTCCATGTCAGACTATAGCAGGAAGAATACTTACTTCTAGAGACAAAAGGTCCTTCTCTGCACCATGCTGGAAAGGGACAAGGTTTTTTTTACTCAGGCTGCGACTGCTTTGTAAAGGAAATAACCTATAAGACTTTATACACCTGGAATGTACTTCTGAGAGTTCAATTGGGTTTCTAAAGTTTGGAAGAACTGCATTAAAATACACACCAATACCAGTATCGGTGCCGATACTGGGCATTTTCAGGGGTACTCATACTGGTGAATATGCCCCTATACTAGCGATTTCAATTTTTAAATGAAAGCCAGCACTGTAAACAGGTGCCACGGTTCATAGGAAGGCTCCTGAGGCCCACTGCGGCCTTCCTCTGAACCACTGCGCCTGTTTACAGCGCCAGCCTGTATACTGCTCCTCCTCAATCCTGAAACCACACCACCTGCGAAACCAACAGGGCCCCTGGTGAGACCCGCACAGCCCACCTGAGACATCAGACCGGTTCCCCCGGAGTAGCACAGAGTATGTAGCTTCATATTATTCTGTATTGGGATCTGTAGTCCTCTATAGCCAGTTGCCATTCGGCATTGCTGTATAATGTACTGCTGGGATCTGCAGTCCTTTCTAGTTGATGGTATTATTCTGCATTGCAATATAATGTAGTGCTGGGATTTGTAGTCCCCTCTACAGCTTGGAATCAGTGGCAGAACTACCAGGATTGCAGCATTTGCAACCAGGCCCTGGCGCTCCACCACTGTCCTAAAATCATTAGTCTGCATTGTTTTAGGAAAACTGTCGCATGACAAAAAAAAAAAAAGGTATCGGCGAGTACTTAAGGAAAAGTATTCATTCTGGAAAAAATGGTGCTAATGATTTACTTTAAAACACTCACCTGCCACTTTATTAGGTACACCTTGCTAGTACCGGGTTGGACCAACTTTTGCCTTCAGAACTCTCTTAATTCTTCGTGGCATAGAGTCAACAAGGTGTTGGAAACATTTCTCAGTGATTCTAGTCCATGTTGACATGATAGCATCACGCAGTTGCTGCAGATTTGTGGGCTGCACATTCATGATGCAAATCTCCCGTTCCACCACACCCCAAAGGTGTTCTACTGGATTGAGATCTGGTGACTGCAGAGGCCATTGGAGTACAGTGGACTCATTGTCATGTTCAAGAAACCAGTTTGAGATGATGTGAGCTTTGGGACGTGGTGCATTATCCTGCTGGATACGCTGTAGTCATAAAGAGATGGACATGGTCAGCAACAATACTCATGTAGGCTGTGGTGTTTAAACGATGCTCAATTGGTACTAAAGGGCTCAAAGTGTGCCAAGAAAATAAAATATCCCCCACACCATTACACCACCAGCCTGAACAGTTGATACAAGGCAGGATGGATCCATGCTTTCATGTTGTTTACACCAAATTCTGACCCTACCAGCTGAATGTCGCAGCTGAAATCGAGACTCATCAGACCAGACAACATTTTTCCAATCTTCTACAGTATTGTCCAATTTTGGTGAGCCTATGTGAATTGTAGCCTCCGTTTCCTGTTCTTAGCTGACAGGAGTAGAACCTGGTGTGGTGTTCTGCTGCTGTAACACATCTGCTTCAAGGTTCGACGTGTTGTGCGTTCAGAGATGGTATTCTGCATACCTCGGATGGTGGTTGAGTTACTGTTGCCTTTCTATCATCTCAAACCAGTCTGCCCATTCTCCTCCGACCTCTGAATTCAACAAGGCATTTTCGTTCTCTGTAAACCGGAGAGATGGTTGTGCGTGAAAATCCCAGTAGATCAGCAGTTTTGGAAATACTCAGGCCAGCCCATCTGGCACCAACAACCATGCCATGTTCAGAGTCACTTAAATCCACGTTCTTCCCCTTTCTGATGCTCGGTTTGAACTTCAGCAAGTCCTCTTAACCACGTCTAGATGCCTAAATGCATTGAGTTGCTGCCATGTGATTGGCTGATTAGCAATTTGTGTTTTACCAAGTAATTGAACAGGTGTGCCTAATAAAGTGGTTGGTAACCTGCCTAAAAGTTATGAATCTCAGAAATACAGCTTGGGCAAAAACAAACAAAAACATCGTAGAAATGTAGCTTTCAACACTCGAACAAAAGAATAACATGTCTGCAGTATCCATCTAGCCTAATCTCCGATTAAGATTAATTATCAACTGACTAATGAAAAACAAGAAGCTGTGCCAAGATGGTAAAAATAAATTTTCCCTTTTTTTATAAAGAGATGATTTACCAGAGAAAGTGGATTGTTTCCATTCGCGCTTTAAAAAGCTGATAACAGGCAGACACAGACAGCCGCCCTGCGGAATATTCCCACATTCCCCAAAAATAATTTGACACATCTAAAGCGTGTAACTACACATCTGGCAAAAAACAAGCCTGCAGGCAACAGTGCTGTCAATCGGAGAGACAGCCTTTATCTGAACAAACATGAGCAAGAAAAACACCGTGAGATCAATGCTGGACGGAAGGCCTGAGAAACGCTGAGACACTGGCGCTTTCGAAAAAAAAAGAGAGTGATGGGAAAAGAAGAAAGAAGGTAGTTGGCGAGAGAAATGAGCGCTGGGCAGGAAGGAGAAGTGGGTGGTATGTTGTCGACAGCTTACAAGGAAAGATACAGATCAATGATAACAGTAAAGTGAGAAACAGGTTTATCATCGACATCGTCAGACGTCCTAAGAAAGACATGTTCCTGAATTTTCTTGCTTGTCGTTTGACGTTGCTGCGGGCCAAAATAAATTACGTTCCCGAATTTCATGAAATATTGGAAGGAAAAAAGAAATGCGGCTGTAGGCAGTGAAGTGTCAGTACTTATCGGTGTTGCTCTCGCAAAGACCCTGTGGATAAAGTATGGCCTCTTCAGGCCACCATAGGATTGGTATCTGTTCTGGTTTACATATGCAATTGGGTGTATCTTTTAGTCTAAGATAATTAAAATGGAAAAACCCCTTTAAGCCCAAAATAGATCTATCTGTGCTAGACTCCTTTCACTGAAACAGCAAACGGCAATATCAAGTTGGAATTTTGGTGGTGCTGCAGGCACAAGTCAAGTTGCTGATGTCAGCTGAGTAAAAGCAGAACTAAAAGTGGACCTTTACCCCTTTGACTAAAAATCACATCAGCATACAGCTCTGCATGCTGATATGAAATCATTTTACATTAATTAGCTAAGCAAACATATATTTCTATTTTACTTATAATTACTTTTTTCTGCTTCCTGGTCCACTTTGGTAGAAACTATGTAATCATTGCATCCAGGGAAGATTACAGAGCATTGCTGGGAAATCTCAGGGAAATGCATTTTCCTCCACTGAGAAAATGTGCATGGTCACATGTCCTAGTCACGTGTGCCAGAGTTCCAGGAAGTAAAGGGAGATCTAGCAACTTGCCCTTAGGTAAAAATGACCATGGTCAGAAGACTGGGGAAGAAGGCAAAAAATAAAAAGCCAACAATTATCTAGAAGTATGTGTTTGTAGATTGTCATTACTAAACATTTCTAAAGGTGCCTTTGTTGTCATTTTAAAGATATTGGTAACCTTCCTCTTTAATATCTGGTTACTGAGAGATTTAGAGTGTATCTAATCCCCAAAGCAAAAATGTCATATACTTCAGCTTACATTCCTTAGATGGGGTGGCTGCATTAGAACTTCTTAATTTAATTAACATTATCAGCCTTTGCTACAGGGGCCCATGCCTCCTTCTTCTGGTAAAGAAGAGTACTCTTACCCCCTGTAATTTCCTTGATGCACGTATCCAGGGGATTACCAAAGAGGTGTCACACTTCAAAGGGCATCATTTCAAGCCACTTTTTGCAGGCAATCTCCCCAGACCAGCATTTAAGTCAGAGAACCCTTTGTGAACTGAAAGTAGGCTCATCCTAGAAATTTGATGACGAGTATCCACACCTATACAATAGCGTAGGGCCACCTGCATGAGTTCCATGTGCCGGGGAACACAAGGATATCTCAGGATAAACACAAAATCCCTGTTCATACTTCTATCGAAGCAATTGCAGGTAGCATGGCCAGACCTGGTAGTGAAAATAGTGCCTTAAAGAGGGCTACTAACCTCTTGTCCACTAGATCCTTAAAAACTGAACTTCTATAAAAGATATGGTTGAACAAACCACTTTCCAATGTGAGACCAGTTTCCATACAAAATTGGTTCCAAAAGTGAATGAACCAAAAAAGTG